AAATTCATAGTTGCAATAAGTGTTATTTACTGGACAGTTTTACCTGAATGCCTAGATTACGATCTTGAGAGGTTTCAAGTTCTTTGTTTTTCTCAGTTAACACTTTAACTTGGTTATCTAGAAGAAAAGGAACATAATGTACACAGATGTGTTAACTCAAAATTGGCATTTTTATGCAACTGCCACCGTTACACATTTTTAAAATGAACTGGAGTCCATAAAGACTAATTTATAACCATATTCCAAATTTGTGAATACATTCTGATCTTACTGTATTCCAGACCAAAAGTTTAAAGATGCTACAATCAAATGTAATAATTCTACTCCCAATTTGGAGTAAAATTAGCAATGTCAGTTTTTCAATACCATTTTCTAAGTTTATATAAAAAAAGAATAAGCAGGTCAGGTTCAATACACGAAATGTAGTTTGAACTACATAAAATGCAATTATTTTACATTACATAGTAAACATCTGTAATTCCACGCTTTTTTATTACTAAAAAGTGTGCCTTTCCCATAGAAGACAAAGTTATGTTTGCACTCCATCAGTACTCACGATGCGTTTATCTTCCCATATACACCTCTCCTCAAATACACACCTTAAAATTTCTTTCATGAAAGCATCTAAAGTCAGGTGTAGTGGTACACACTTAAAACCCCAGGACTTGGGAGGCAGAGACAGAAGGACAGCTACAAGTTCAAAGCTAGCCTAGTATACAAGGTGAGTTTGGGGATACTTGGGACAATGTAGGAAGATCTTTCCTCAAAGAGGAAACAAGCAAATGCAACATTGCATAGAGGTAATTTAAAAAGATTGATTTTTATTTATGTGCACACTTGTGTGCCCATGTTAAATGTTATGTGTGTGCAAGTACCCAAGGAGTCAGGAAGCTGTCACTGTCACATGCCCTGGACCTAGGATTTTAGAAGGTGTGGGAGCTGGGAACTGCTTCTGTATAAGAACAGCTAGTGGTCTTAATCACTTGAACCATCTATCTTCCCAGTTTCTATGTATAGGCAATTTAACATTTTTTTAAATTGCATCATAAAAGGAAAACAAAAAACTGCTACTCTAGATTTTCTATTTCGTTTTACTTACTACCTTCCATGTGTACACATCTGTAATTGTATACATACACTTCAAATACAACTGTCCACACTAAGAAGGTACTCATCTTTGTCTATGCTCATCCCTGTCTTCTCTAAATACCTCATAAAAGAAGATGCAATCAGTTACTCTCCTAAAATTCTTTGGTACTTTTAGGCAGGACTTATGCTTTTCTGTGGAAAAGTACTGTGTGTGAGAGAGCATGTACACATGTATGTAATACACATCTTTCTTTAAATGTTAGCGTATCAAAAGTAGCTGAAGAAATTATAAACCAATCAGCCAGAGAAAAGGTGACATTTAAGCACTTGATGAAGAGCTTCTTTTGTTCCTTCTCTATGAAGTGAAGTCAAATCCAATCAAACTATATTTAAAGGCCTTTATAAGGCTTTCCTTCCAGTTTTCTTCTATCACAAGCAAAGTATATAATACAGCATCCTCTATAATCTTTAATAAGCTCTTTCTCAAGAGTTGGCTTTATAGAAGATGATGGATTTGTAGTTATAAAAGTTGCAATAAAGTCTAATGAAATCAGTAATTTTAATTTTTCAATAGGAAAACAAGTCACTATTTAAATCCTGAAGTATACATTTTAGCTACTATCAAAAATCCCTTCGACGTGCTAAGCGATGGAAACATACACGCGGGTCTAGCAAACGTGATCCTTTTAAAAAAGATTATATGACAGTATGTGTGGTGAAACCACTTTCAACATCAATGTCTGAATTAGAAACAACCTATGCCCTCACCAAGTATTTACTGCCAAATGAAAAACAAATTATCACTATGAATACAAACTACAATGCCTCCTGAGCATTTTTACAAGTTAGTTTTAGGAAGAGATAGGGAGGGGAACAGAAAGGTACACACCTCAAAGTCTTCATTACTATTCAGTGGGTACGAAGCAAAGCTACAGCCCTCTCAAGAGAGCACGTTTTTATAAGATTATCTGTGAGAAAGTAATGAGGGAGAGGTGTGGGCCCAAAATCTGTGGTCACCATCAAATTAGACTAAAAACACTTTTTTTTTGTGGTTTGGGTGGAGGTGTCTGGAAGGCCCCAAGGACAATCAGAATGAAGCAACTAAGTCAGTCTGCCTCCAGGCCTGTAGGCAGGGGAACTGGGTGTGTCCTTACCTTGTTTGTAATTCCCTGCTTAGGGCTATGCTATCTGGAAAGGCTCCCGGCATATGTGCTGCTACTCGAAGGAGTAACTGAACACCCAAGAACAGTTATAAAGATATAATTAAATACTCACTTAGCTTCTCAAGCTCCAGTCGCAAGTTCTGACACTCACGGGTTTCATTTACAAGCCTCTCCTGACTCTGGGATAACCTCTTCTCTATCTCAAAGTATTGTTGCTCTACAAAAGACAATACAAACACTAAAAGTAAAGTCAAGCACACATGCCCCCAAAAGCAGTTGTCTTAATACCACTATTCATTTCTTAGAATACTGACCGCAAAACTTAAGATACAATACTGGAAAATCTAATCTCAATATAGATTCAGCACTGAAAAGACTTTTCTAACATTTTCAGCTGACATATAGCAAAAGACAATAATGCCTAAAAGGGGATTCAGAAATTATTTCTTCTAAGCAGCAACAATATCTTATCTTGGTATTTTCTCCAGACCTCAGGAGATTGCTAAACATTTAAAAATAAGTATTTACTAAATTGAAATTTTATTTAATTAAAAACTGAATTGTTTAAAAAGGTTTTGTGTAAAATAATTAAAATATAACCTGCTTAAACTTCTGTAAAAATAAACATGCAGACCTCCCATAAAAAGAGACAGTGAGCCAGGTGGCGGTGGCATATACCTTTGACCCTAGCACTTGGGAGGCAGAGGCAGGAGGATCTTTGTGGAGACCAGCTTGATCTATAGAGTGAGGTCCTGAACAGCCAGGGCTACAGAGAAACCCTGTCTCAAAAACTTAGGAAAAAAAAAAAGGGAGACCATGTAGAGACTGTTTACTTCATTCCAGTATTGGTATCGGGACATATAAATCACTCAATTCACTCAATATTTATTGCATAAGTTAATAATCAGAATACTGTGTATTATACAAATTTCTTATTTCATCAATTAACTATATAATTTCGATTGTCAACTTTGCTTGATAATTACACTTTATTGAAGTGGAAATTAATTCAGGTGGGTTTTCCAATCTCTACAAAAACACAGCACCAATTCCCTCAATTAACTGTAAACCAAAACACGCAACAAGAAGAATCCTATTAACAGTAATTACTATTTTTATTTCAAGGCTGTTCAAACCACAAAGTTCCTAACTTTCTCATATGAAAGCAACTACAAAGGCATATGAGTAGATCTGTATGTTTTCTATCCATCTCCAACTTTCTGAGGGCAACACACTATATCCAACTCATCTAGTGCAATTTCACTGCTCTTCTAGTGATTTCTTTTGCATCCAAATTCATTTTTGTGAACATCTCCAACTTTGTGAGGGAAGCACGATATATCCAACTCAGTGCAATTTCACTGTTTTTTTTTTCTAGTAATGTCTTTTGCATCCAAATTCATTTTCGTGACCACCTACTTCGATATGGGACCACATGGAGATACATACACTAAGAACAAGGCATCGAGGAGACGATATTGACAAAGTCCTATAAATCCAGGTGGGCAGAAAATAGGAGGAATTACGGTCATTTAAGAACAAAACGGAATCAGATTTGGGTTGCACAGTCCTAAAAATGTGGTATAAACGGACCCAAATTCTCCACAATTTGCATGTGGGTCCAAGTTAAGAGTTCCTCCGTAAGACGTGATGAAGGTAGATTTAGATCTGGAAGGAGGACAGATCGCTTCTTTTCTTTAAAAAACCAGTCAGCGAGGAGAAAAGGGAGGGCCTACACTGCATATGGAGCCTGTGTGATGCTACCTGCCCACCTCGCAGAGTGCAAGCGGGCGACGAGGAAGGTCGGGCCACAGCTCGAGCAGAGCTCTAGGAGCTCAGCACTTACCGCTCTCCACCTTAAATTTCTCGTGCCGCCCCTTCAGGCCGTCGATCTCGGACTGCTGGTCAGCCAGGAACTTCTCGAGTTTGTTCTGGGTCGACTTAGGCAGCTTGTTGAGCTCCGGGCGCTCCAGCACTTGCTGCAACACCGCCGCCATGTCGGCCGGGGTCGTGGCCGCGGCGGCCGAAGGAGAAACGAAGGAGCTGGGCGAAGCGCGAAACCCAGAAGCCTGAGGCGTTCCGTCTGCAGCGTCGCTCGCCGGCTCCCTGGCGCCTGCCCGCCGGAGACTCCCGCGGCGGGACCCTGGGAAACAGAGTCCCGTGTTAGACGCAGCACGGGCCGCGCCACTGCACCCGCTATGCGCGCGCAGCCGCCGGAAGCTATGCACGCTGGGAATGCGAGTTCACGGCGGGCCTCCGACCTAACTTTTGGTTTCGCCTGCTGCCAGACCCAAAGGCTCCTGGGAAATGTAGTCTTTCTCAGTCGCTTCCGCGAGCTTCGTTTCCCCGCTTCCCACCCCCCGCCCCTCCCCCGCTCCCGTTCCTTCTTTCTCCCCGCCCCCGGCTCTCCTAGTTCGGCTGTGGCGAGCGTCCGCGCGGTGGCGCTATATACGCGTTCAGCCACCATCGTCCTTCCCCCGAGGAGCAAGGCGACCTTACCGTCAAAACCTCGGGACGCCATGGGTACTCCTCGGTGGCCGCTTCTAGAAACCGAGCCGCTAGAGGGTCGCGGCAGGGCGGATCGACAGGCTCCGGGCTGCCGCCACGCTCTCAATGGTGCCCGAAGTGGGCGGGGTGCAGGCCACACTTGCTTTGGGAGAAGAGCTGCGGAGATGGGTGCCGGACGGCTTGCGTCATCAGGCTGCGCCCGTCGGTGCCCTAGTTTGGAGCGGGAAGTGGAGCGTCCAGAGTCGCTTTCTGATGAGTTCATTGGCTGTGGCCGCCGGACCTGAGTGGCATCTGACCCTGGAAGGCAGCTCCTTGTGCTCTCCTCCGAGTTCTCTTGCTGACAGAAGGTTCGGGGGATTTACTGGCCACGTGTGCACAGTCTGCGAACAAGTGAGTCGGCCTGCGAGTGTGAGTGCACCCGGGCACCAACAGCTTCCTCTCCAGAGGGAGCAAGGAAAGGATAGAGTGTAGGGAACATATGGCCAGTCACCCTGGTGCACACTGAAGCCCAGTTCTGAGAAGTTTAGCTCATGTCAAACCCCGTACAAACGTGCTTTTGGGACTTGGAGGTACTGATCAACGCGAATTTAAGTAGTAAGCCAGTTAGTATTTTAGACAAAAAGAAGTCAGGAAAAGTTTGAATATAGTTTTAGGTATTAAAGATGACATTGCAGAAAAAAATGTCTGATGTTGATGTTTTTATACGAAAATGTTTTAAAACAATTGCCACAATATCATCTTGCTCCAAAGATGTTTGTTTCCAGATCATGTTTCAGCACTTTCAGTATGTACTTTGTTTCATGCCTGGTTACTTTTCTGGAAGAATTTACTGACTTTTGATTGAAAATAAGAGCTAGTGCATGCCCGTGACCTCAGCAACTGGGAGTAAGAGGCAAGAGGGTGGTAATTCCAGTAGAGCCTGGGTTAGTAGTCAGACCCTGTTTTCAATGGAGGAGGTGGGAGGGATCAAGTTAGTACGGATATTATACTAGTTTCCATTCACAAACTGAAGGAGAGAACAGGAGCTGACCTTTGCAATGATTTGATTGAAGGACAGTATATGTTGTCGGCGTAAGCAAAACAGACTGTCAGAGTTTAAATCTCGCCTAACACACACACACACACACACACACACACCAGTTTTGTCATTTGGAGGAGTCATTTAACATTTCCTTCTTTTTGATTTCTTTATGTATAAAACGGAGATGACAGTAGTACCTGTGTCGTGGTGTTATGTGTTAAATGTCAATGCATGTAAAGTACCTAGAATAATGCCCGGTGTAGAATGGAAGCGATGTAGTCAGTTATCATTGTTGTACTACTGTTTACTTAAGTGGCTGTCTCATGTCAGCAGTCATTGTTAGCTTTTGTGCCTTCCCGCTGAGTGCAATTTCTAGAATGTAATAATTGTGTAATATACATTGTGTAAAGAAACTTGTATTTTTCTGCCCCTTAATGAACTAATGAACTAACCAGAAATTCATTAATCTCTCATAATTTAGAAATGAGAACATGGAAATTCACCAATAAATTAACAAAGGAGGAGTAGATCTAAAATAAGAACTTAGATGTGTTGACTATGGAATGGTTTCATTATTTCCTTATCCCAAGAATGAGAAATAGCTTTGATTTCTCATGTTAATTGGTAATTGTGATTTTTGTTTTTGTTGTTTTGGTTTCTTTCTGTGTGTTTTTGTTTGTTTGTTTCTGAGGTAGGGTTTCACTATTTAGATCCGATTAGCCTGGAACTCACTATATAGCCTTGACTGACATCTACCTCCTGGCATCAAAGCTGCCTGAGCTGCTGGAGTGCTGGAGTTCTAGGCATGCTGTCCCCTGTCTGTCTGAGAGTCTGTCCTTCCTTTCTTTTTAAAAAGTACTTTTTGCTATTATTTTCATTTGCAGTGCATATCTGTGTGGGTATACTCCATGTGTGCAGACTCCAGAAGAGGGAATCAGTTTTCCTGGAGCTCTAGGCATGCTGTCCCCTGTCTGGCTGGGAGTCTGTCCTTCCTTTCTTTTTAAAAAGTACTTTGTGTTATCATTTTCATTTGCAGTGCATATCTGTGTGGGTATGCTCCATGTGTGCAGACTCCAGAAAAGGGAATCAGTTTTCCTGGAGCTCCAGGCATTTGCGCACCACTGGACTTGGGTGCCAGACATTGAACTCAAGCCCTGTGGGAAAGCAGCAAGCTCTCTTTCAAGCTCTGAGCCATCTCTCCAGCCCTCAGGGAGTTGTTTCTTACAGCACATGTGCCCAGATTTCCAAAGCTACATTTCAGTTGTACAAAAAAGAATGCCCGGTTTCATAAATAATCACCATAAGACATAGGGAATTATCAGGATTGTACCACTTTTCCCCTCTAATACCCACCTGCCTATGCTAAAACGTCAAAAATTACGTTTTTTTCCCCAAAAGGCAAACTTTATTTCTTATAATTTAGGCTATTGAATTGGCTGTCAATAATGGGAAGAACCTACATTGTAGAAGAGACTGTTGGCCAGTATATTTCAAGCATCAATCTCCAGGGAAAACCTTTTGTCTCTGGTCTTTTGATAGGACAGGTATGTATGTGTCTGTTAATCTGCATATTGATGAAAACAAATTACACATTAAGTTAAATTAAGTATGCCATTTAATAGTAAATTCAGAGTTGTATATGGAAGGGACATACATCTGAAGAAGGTAACCCAAACATCTAAAAGGGAGGAACCCCTGGCTGAAGTTGGAATAAGTAGGATCACATTCCCTTTGGTACTGTGAAAGTGACTTACAATGTTCAAAGGTCAAAATGTAACTCTTCACTGGCCAGATTATTCACATTTGGCTCTTTTTGAGTTTTGGACTAAATACATAGATAGCTTAGTTGGTACAAAATAAAGCCTAAAGTTTCAACCCCAGCGTTCCTGGTGGTTGTCAGCATGGTCACAGTGAGAATTAGTTCATTCTAAGTTCATGGGCTCTTATCCAAATTGAAAATAAGGACTCACCAATTTGCAAATGTGGCAAGGAACAAACCAAAAATGCAGATTCACTGCAGGCCACGTGAATGAGAGTACATAGTGTCCGAATTGTTGTTTGTGGCTTAGATTTATGGGGTTCAAAAGAAGTAGGTGCTGGTTCTAAGGATATAGTTTGAGAGGTTGTCTGTTTTGATTGCTAGGTTACATACAATCTGATGCTTATTTTCCCTAATGTACATGTGCTGCCCTCACCTGATTTAACTCAATTTAAGTTCACTCATTGGCATAGGATTTTTCCCTAAAAGTTCACTTGACAGTTTGTTTAACTGTGCATGCACCTGTAACCATTTTAAGCTGGCTAGACATTGCTATTCTTCTTACCAGATATGTTGGGAATACACTTGAATAGAAACTGCCTAATTGTGATTGTGACCGAGGACAGGGAAGTCTGTACTGTTCCTTTGAGATGGAAGTAATGTGTAGCCCGATGCAGGTAGAGGCCTCAGGGTGAGGTTGCTAGGAGAGGGGTGTTTGCCCATGGTTCCGGCAGGTGAAGGACTAGGCTACCAAATATATTACAAGAGGGGCAGGCAAGCGATGACCCAAGTGAAATAGGATCCCAGGCTAACCTACCTCCTATGCTTGCCTGACTCACTCAGCACCTCTTCAACCATGCATTTTGCTGTGGAGCCCAAACTGGCCTTGATCGTACCATTCTCAGTATAGATGTGAACCACTACATCCAGATCTATACTGTCCTTATTTCTTCGCTTGCTGCATTCTTTCTCTTCCCTTTGATTCCAGAGCTCACTTTTGTCCACTTCTGTCTTCTCAAGATTGCCTTTACTACTCTAAATGTCAGTTTCTCTTTCTTTTCAAAGTCCAACATCTTACGAGGGAAGCAACACCTCTATGTCAGGCATGGTTGTTCATGCTGTAGTCCTGGTACTTGGAAGGCAGAAGCAGAAGGATCAGTCTTGGCCACATAGTGAGTTTGAGGCCAGCCTCGGCTATGTAAAACAGGGTTCCAAAATAATGAGAGAAGAGATGGGGAGGACCTTAAAAAAAAGATAGATATTTTTCATTTTATTTTCATGATTTTTTCAGTGTGTGTTGCGTATATATACACACGCATATGTGTGTTGAGATGTCCAAGGAACCCAATGGAGTTGGAGTCCTAAAGCTGGAGTTGTAGGCTGTTGTGAATTACCAGGTGTGGTTTCTGGGAACTGAACCTGGTCTTCTGCAAGAGAATACTTACTCTTGACCATTGAGCCATCTCTCCAGCCCTAAGAAACATGGCCTTTAATCAAGCCATACAACACTCATGTATACATTTGGAAGTGATTTTCTGTAATTAGTACAATCATGCTAATGATCTCTAGGGAGTTTTAGGTAATATTTGGAGGTAACACCATTCTAACTACATTATATACCTCATTAGCTAACTTAGGAACCATGCTGTATCGAACTGAGATCTCTTCCAGTCCATAAATTTATTTGTAATCTTTCACTTTTGATTGCCATTTAACTACTGTTAAAAATGAAGAACCTGGAGTTTGAAACCACTTTGAATTTTGTTCCAAATCCCCTCCATTGTTCTCTTGATGCATCTATGTAAGTTTATTTATTTATTTACCTTTAAATATTATGGCAATCCAAATAAAGTAAACAAGGTCATTGTCATTTTCCAAATGAGATTTTATACTTGCTAAACATGCAATCCGTTTAAATCACAGAGAAAATAAATAATTGGTGTATTGACTAAGCATATTATATTTTAGGTATGTTAGTTCACTTGCACATTCAACAGTAACAACAAAAAAATCTGTTCAACATTTTGTATAGCCCTAACCGGCCTATAAATCTTTGTAGTCCAGGATGACTTTGAACTCATGGTTCTCCTGTTTCTACTTCCTGAGTGTGCTGGATTCCATATGTATGCCATCATTGCCGTCATGCCTGGTTTATGTGGCACTGGTGATTGAAACCCAGAGTCTTTTGCATACTAGGAAGTTGCTGTACCAACTGAGCTACAACCACAGTTCCAGAATCATTTTATTTTTATTTATTTATTTATTTGAGACAGGTTTCTCTGTGTAATAGTGCTGGTTGTCCTGGGACTTGCTTAGTAGACCAGGCTGGCCTTGAACTCAGAGATCCACCGTCCTCTGCCGCCTGAGTGCTGGGATTAAAGGTGTGTGCCGCTGCCACCCGCCGCCACCACCACCTGGCCCAGAATCATTTTTAAAGACCACTCTGTGATTTATATTGAGGATGTCCTAGTAAATCATAATAAGCTGATATCATGTACATTAAAGAATAACAGCATATGAGACATACTGTAAAACCGTTCATTAAAATCAGTTCCCATGAGTATAGCTTCCGTAATAATATGAGTCTGAACAGTTTCAATTGCTGAAGTGCTGTTTTGCATGAGATATCTATTTCTTCAGATATAACTGTAATAAGCTTTTACAATTTGTTTTTAAAGTGTTCTTCACAAAAGGATTATGTGATTCTTGCCACTAGAACACCACCCAAAGAGGAACAGAATGAGAACCTCAAGCATCCCAAAGCTAAGTTGGATACTTTGGATGAAGAATGGGCCACAGAACATGCCAGCCAGGTAAAACTGACTCTCCATATAGGAGACAGGGTTTCTCTGTATTGTTTTGGAGCCTGTTGTGGAACTCGCTCTGTAGACCAGGCTGGCATTGAATTCACAGAGATCCGCTTGCCTCTGCCTCCCAAGTGCTGGGATTAAAGGTGTGTGCCACCAACGCCCGGCTTGGTGTTTTTATTTAATTGATAAACAACAGAAAATAAAATGCTTCCCAGGTTACCAGACTGGAATTTTACAATATTCTTTCTTAAATGCATGCCAATGGTTGAATGCAAAAGAGTTTTACAGAATGCTGTGACATGAATGACTCTTAGGACTTTGTTAATTGAGCAAGTCCAAGAACACATTCAGTAAGGGCAGGACAATGTGAATAAGTGACACAAAGACACAATACTAGGTAAATAACAAGCAGTTGGGCAGTTGAGTATAATTGAACACAAAGTGTGTAGGAAAATGTATTTAAATACAAGGCTTGTTATGGGCGGCTTTGGAATATAATTCTTTTTTTAATTTAATTTAATTTAATTTAATTTATTTATTTATTTTTTTGGAATATAATTCTAAGAAGTACACTTGGTAACAAAAGCCTAGCCATAGAGGCAGGGAGAGTCATGATCTTTTTAAGGATGTGGCTTTAAAAAGAAGTGTATGTGACCACAGTAGATCACCCAGGCTCCATTGGATGGCCCCACACCTGTGAGGATATATGGGCAGTCCAAATTGGACCCATGCGTTATTGAAAAAAACAAACACATGAAGTCGGAAGGAAAAGCATAGGGTAGTGGGCTGGATCTGGGAAGAGTGGGGGATGAATGGGATCAAAGTACATTGTGCGGAATTCTCAGAGTACTAATAAAATATTATATTGGAAAATCCAGTGGGAAGCCTTTATATCCCCATATTTTAAAAGAGGTTAAAGTGACTTATTTGCCAGTAATTTGTAAGAGAACATTAATACTGGCACAGTGTTAGTGGAGAGGAGAGCCTGGAGACAGAAGAGAAACTATAGCTTAAGTAATAGTCCAAACTAGTGAAGGTATGAGCTGAAACTAGATTCTGAGCTGTGTGTGGGTGGGAGTTCTTTCTTGTACATATGGCTGTAGTCTGAGAGCCTACAGAATTTCCATGGTTTATAATGTGAGTTGTAAAATACTAGATAAAAAAATGCATGGATAAATTAGCTTAAACACAATAATTTCAGAGAAAGAGCTAGCTAGAATCATGAAACTTCAGTGACCAAGTGGATTGAGAATAAAGAGATTTAAAAGAGAGAATTGCCAAAGATGCCTGAGATTTTGGCTGAGATTTTTACCTTGAGTGTTTGTGAGAACAATAAGGGAAGGAAATGGATTTCAGATGCTGAAAAAGTAATAAATATGCTAATTCATTTAAAATGTTTCTTGAGTGAGTTGTGACATAGAATAAAAAATAGTAAAGATAATTAGAGTAAGATAAAAGTAGAATTATTGTATTTCTTTCTCAGCTTAAAAACCTTAGTGGTTAAGAACACTAGCTGGTCTTCCAGGGGTTCTGAGTTCAATTTCCAGCAACCACATGATGGCTCACAACCATCTGTAATGAGATCTGGTGCCCTCTTCTGGCCTGCAGGGATAAATGCAGACAGAATTTTATATATATATATATAAATTGTATATATATATGTATAAATATGTATATTTAAAAAGCACCTCTTAGATAAATAAATGTTCATATACTTGTGATAAGAGAGTAGTATGCAATTATAAAAAGTTCCAAGAAATAAAACTGTTGTCTTTTGAAGAAGGTATTACTTTAATTCCTATTGATATATGTGAATAACTTCTTGTCCTAAATTTGCTTTGCTTTCTTATAATTTTTCTTTCTTTCATGTGTCTGCAGTGTGCATGCATGCTGTGTATGTGTGTTTGCATGTGTATAAGTAGAGACTTGAAGCTTATATCAGTAGTCTTTCTCTGTCACTCTGCCATCTTACTCTTTGAGGCAGAGTACTATAGCTTGTCTTGCCGGCCAGCTTGCTCTAGGGAATCCCTTGTCTTCTCTCTCAGAGGGTGGAATTACAGGCTAGCCGCCATACCCACCCAGCATTTACATGGATTCTTGGGATTTGAACGCTGATACTTTTGCTTGTCCAGCAAGTGCTTTAACCACTGAGCCACCCCCACCTTCCCTATGACGTTTAATGTGTTCTGTACAATTTATATACAAATGCATAGAGAGAATATGCATGATTTATAATAGGAAATTAAATTAGTATTTTGCCTCTAGAGTTAGCTTTGTATTAATTTTTAAAGCTATATAAGTTTCCCATGATAAATATGAAAACTTAGTCACATTTGTTATACTGATTAAATGGAATTTATGCAATCAGAGGGAACCATGAGCTGACATAATGCAGATATAGTAGAAATTATGCTTTAATATCTATTTTTCTAAAATCTAACTTTGTGATTGCTCTCCTACTATAAGTCTATGAAATCTAGCAAAAGTGCTCTTGTCACTAAACTTGCCTGGCAGAGAAAAACACATGTAGTTTTAAAAACTAGCAACATCATGTGAAGGGAAAATATAAATAGAGCATAGATTATTATATGCATGTACAAGGTTGTATGATTCTCCAGGGAAACTGTGGAAGTTCAGAGATCATTGTGTCAGGGAAGACAGCTCCCTCAAGTTGACTTTGAAGTTATCTCACTGAATCCATATGTGAGAGTGTGTGAGCAGTCATTTAGGCTGAGGAAACAACCTTAGGAAGAGTATAGAGTTAGGAAGCCTAGGGCAATGTGTGGGGAACAGGGAGTAGTTTTGACGGATGCTTGAATATTTCAGAGAAAGTAGATTAGCCGTGTCTCTGAATATCAGATTGGCCAGATTCTGGAAAGATTAAAATGACAGTCTAAGATAAAATATTTATTTTTCAGATAGTTGGAAGATCATTGAAAAAATTTCACTTTACAAATCTTAGGAGAAAGGAGTCTATATATTGGTGCAGCTAAGCAAGTTATTACAGTGATTTTAAGATCTAAAGTTGAGGGTACTCTGGGAAGGGTTTCATATATATAATTACACTTCATATTTTCAACTGCCTCTGCCTGGATTCTATATGTATAGTTAGTCCTGGATAGGTATTTGCTGGTTTAATGTTATCTGTATCAAGTAGAAGAGACTGACATGCTTATGATAGTTAATAATGTATCTTTAGGTATCCAGAATGCTCCCTGGAGGACTTGTGGTTCTTGGAATATTTATTATTACAGCATTGGAAGCAGCAGATGATTTTCAAAATGCCCTGCGCAGAGTAAGTCTGATGTAGCAAAAACTCTTAATGAGATCAAAGCTACATATTATTTCACTTAATTAATTGTATATATATATAGACTTTAAATATACATATGTTAGTGTTTTGTAATTCTTTATGCTAGAATTATGCTGAAATGGTCTTTTCTATCCAATTTCTTGCAGCTCTTGTGTGCAATAAATCTAAATATTTTTCCAGCCAAAGTAATTTTTAAAGTTTGGTTACTAAATATGTATATATGATGGTGGGGGGTGGTCATGCACCCACCATGGCAAACTTGTGGAGGTCAGAGAACAATGACAACTATGTAGACCTCCTTCCATCTTTTCAGGGATCCCATGACTTAAACTCAGGTTGTCAGGCTTCCACCTCAAATGCCTTTACGTGCTGAACCATCTTACTGACCCTTAAAACAATTTTTCAAAAGATGATATATCGTTATATAATAAGTCGTAATGGTTTAACTGTTTTTCTTGTGTGATAGTAGTTTTCTTGTAGATGTTCTACTTAATAGGAAGTGATTGCAGTAGTATCAAGTATGCTAATCACATCCTTTGGCGTTCTGAGATTACTATATAAACAATAAATAATCACATGCTTATTCTTTACTCCTGGATGGGCTGCATATTCTGCAGCTCATATTTTTTTCCTTTTTTAAATTTAAATTAGACACAAGCTTTTTTTACAAGTCAATCCTAGTTCCTTCTCCGTCCCCTCCTCCCCTGTCCCCTACCAACCTTCTATCCCATCCCCTTTCTGCTCCCCCAGGAGGGTGAGGCCTTCCATGAGGGATCATCAAAGTCTGTCATAGCATTTGATTTTTTTTTTGTTTTGCTACTACATCAGAAAATCAGGTGGTGTAATCAGTCCAAAAGTAGATGTAAAAGTCACAAGCTCTCTCTTATTTTCAAACCTAAAGTAGTCTTCAGAAAGCTTTCATGTCTTTATACTCACAAGATCCACATGTACTTTCACAAGCATATCTTACCTTGTCCAAATTTGGAGTCGTCAAGATCAGATTGGTCTGTAGGCCCGTCTGTGGAATATTACCTTGACTGCTAATTGATGTGCAAAGTCTTAGCCCACTGTGAATGGCACCATGCCCTAGGAGGGTTTCCTGTGTGTGTTCTCTCTTAGCTCAGACAGCCTTGCCTATACAATGAGACTATCTCAAACTGAAAATAAAAATAGGAAAGAAATGGTCTATCTGCAAGAAATAACTTTAGAAAATGTGTTGTTTATTGTCAGTCCTTTTGGTCATTATATAAAACTGTATTCTGTGGAGCAGTGCATTTTGATATTATCAGAAAAGGTGTGTGCCTTCTGATCAGCTGTTCCAGCTTATAGGTCATAAGAATTAGATGGCAAATTAGACTTCTCTACACATTGTTGTAAGAAAGCCTACAGCCACATTCATGACCCTCTATCCTCATTCTAAGTTCATGTTTTATAGTTGATATTTCTGATACAACTGACACAAAATTAGTTCACTATTCTGATTTTTTTTCTCCTAATTTTTTTACTGCTTTCATGTTTTGTAAAATTTAAATAAATAATGCCAAATGGACAACATGTTTTATTTTTGTGGTTAAAAAATCACTTATTCCCTTTATAACAAAAATAAAATTTGTATTCTATATTTTATATAAATGCCAATTGCCCAAAATTAATGTATCATGTCCAGTTGATTATTAGTTATAAGGAATTATATTTTTTACTTAAAACTCAATTTTTATGTGAGTCGTTTTATGAAATCACAAATGGTTAATATATCAAAATAGTCCATGAAATTCTGAAGATTAGGAACTGTCATTGCCTTTTCTACGTTTTTCATTTTGTGATGAATTCATGTATATTTCTCTGTCTTTCAGCTAATATTTTCTGTGGAAAAGTCTATAAATAGAAAAAGACTATGGACTGTCACAGAGGAAGAGATCTCAGAACGAGTGATACTTCACATATGTTCTTCTACAAAAAAGTATCTTTTATTTGGGTGTTTATGGTTAATGTCTATGGTCCTGGCTCCAGTTCTAGTGCTGTCTGGCCCACAACACCCACAGTGTACACTGCTTTCCTCTCCTCTCCCCCAAATCATGTGCTATGCAAATCACAATCCTACAGTCCTTTCCTTAAACGTTTGTCTAAATAATTCTTTCCAAAAGACTTTAAGTTTGTCTTTAAAGAACACATTGTTATGATTAGGGCTGCCAATAATGATAATAATATTAATGGCCACTGGTCATTTGCCAAGTTATAGAGTTTGATAGAAAGAGAAAGGACTTAGGATTCTAAATTCATCATCAGCTCCCTAACCATGTATATTTTTGGACTGTAGGTTCTTTTCAGAGATAAGCTTAAGCATATAATGTTTTTGCTTTGTTAGTATAATTTTCATCTTTATTTCTTAAAATGTGCAGTTGGAAGCACCCATAATTGAGCTGGGTAGTGTAGAAATTCTTATGCCTTTGCCATGGTCAAGTGGCTTCTTTAGACTCTCTCCTCTGTAACTCCCCAGGATAGACAGTAACTAAAGGAGAGACACAATCCAAGGACCCACTAAATGAGGCCTTGGAGAAGACACAATTCAAGAAGACTTTTTCTGTAGAAGATGGGTGTTTAACATATTTCTCACCTGCCTGGGAAGTGTCACAACCAGTAACTGTTCCTTGAAACAGCACTTCTTTATGCTGCTTTTTTTCCATTTATTATGATTAGCAGTATTTACAAACAGAAGGAAATTTGTCTTTTGTTTGCTTTTTGAAGCACCAGGAGTACTATAGTCAGCAATTCATATACATACATAATATACATAATATATAAATACTCAAACATTTAGATAAATGCATACTATATATCTGTATTTGTCTTTAGGTATCTAGGGTATTATGATTTCTAAGAACTCATATTGCCATTTTTAGTTCTTGGATCATATTTTATTATCACAAATGCTTTTGGAGTCATTTAGACCTTAATTAGTGAAGATTATCTTGTCGAACTTATGATGTCCATGATCCAAAGGTAAGAAAAATCACTCTTTAAGACTTTAAGAGGTACTTTTAAAAATCAAAATTCATCTTTATTTACATTTATTTTTTAAATAATTTTCACTGTCATTACTTCTTTTTGATACGTATGACCACTTGTAGTTTTGTGTTTGGTTTGTTGTTGTTAATCTGACTTTTATTTGAGAAGCTGATGGTGAAAGTGACTAAGGATTTTGTGCTGCTGCGGTGCCTGGTCACCTGGCTCCCTGTGTGGTGCAGAAGGCAGACCAGCGTTTATTTGCCTAAAGGCAGTGTGAAAATGAGTCAGTAGTGTAGGGAGCAAGGACAGCACAGCCTTAGAGGGGCAGCTTGGTGAGCATTTGCTGCAAGCAGAGTCTTGGGGATGGACTGTTGAGGCCACAGGGGAAAGCTGAGGCCTAGAACACCTTTCAGAGTTCTCAACAGAGTCTTCTGATCCTTTGTCTGCCTACCCCCAGAGTTGCCAAGGTCGTCTAGCTTGTATGAAAGAGTGCTAAAATTAATGCATCATCACTTCTAACTTCTATTTCCCTTAAATCAGGGAATTTGATCAATGGCACAGGATGCTAGTCTGGTCAAGCTATATATAGATTTTATACCTTATTTTATGAATGCACATGTTTTACCTAAGCCATATCATGTTCTGTTTTTCTACCTTCTCCCTGCTAAAGAGTTCAGCAAGACCTGCAGAATGGAAGTATCAAAATAGAGTGTCTACCTCATGGCTGTCTCTAGAGTGTACTGTTCACATTAACATTCACATCCCACTGTCGGCTACTTCTGTCAGTTATACTCTGGAAAAAAATACAAAGGTATCAAAGTGAAATAGGTTTTCTTCCTTGATTACTGAGTGGGCTCACCGCTGTTAATCTGGTTGTGACATTTATAATCCTCAAAACTTGTACTCTATTAAAATGATTGTTTTATGTGTATTGAACTTGTTACTCTAGCTGGATTAGAAATTTTTATCATTAAAAATAAAAGTGTCATAATACTAGTATATTTAGCATATCATGTACTTAATAAATATTTATTAGTTAACATATGTAGAATTTAATTTTGCCCATGGATTTGCTGATGGCCTTCTCTTGATCCTGATTGGTTTTGCCTCTTTTCTATTCCTTTGTATTTCATCATTTCTTGTTTCTATCTAAATTTTCCTTTTTAATACTGCTTTATATGACTCAAGGCTCATTTTTCTATTTCTAAAAAAGATAATAGGCACTATTAGTTTTTATTTCTATGCTCATGTAGTTAATAAGACTTTGGAGTTTGTGATATAAATTTTAGGAAAAGTTCAGAAAACATTAAATATGGGTAGGGGAGCTTAAAGATTGGGACTGTTGTAATTTGTAGTACTGGATTAAACACTGTGTTATTGATACTTGGACATTTTCAAGATTTCAGTGTAGTAGGTGGAAAATAGAAGAAGAGGCTTGATTAAGATAACTTTCCATCTGACAGATTTCATGTTGTTTTTAAGAGTGGACTTACACGCTGGGCCAAGCAAATAGAAAATGGTGTTTATTTGATTAATGGACAAGTTAAAGGTGAAGATTGTGACCTATTAGAAGGACAGGTGAGTTAAGAGAAAATCATCACATTTATGAATTAGTTTTTTTTAAGGAAAAATAGATGTATCTTTAGTTGTAGTCTTTATTAAAACAGGTTTCATATACTCATTTCTAGGATCTTTGGTTTTTTACTTATTTATTTTGATGTAGGGTTTCTATGTAGCTCTAGCTATCCTGGAGCTCACTATATTGACCAAGCTGACCTCAAACTCACAAAGATCTGCCTGCTTCTGTCTCCCAAGTTCTGGGACTGAAGGTAAGCTCTACCATTCTGAGCTCCAGAGTCTTATAAAGTAAAGGGCAAATGTTTTTCTCGGAAAGCAATAGGAAGAGGCTATTTCTGGTGTAATTGAGATACTGAATCCTGGAATTAGGAATGTCATCTGCATCCAAAGCCAATCTAATCTGCAAATTGTAAAAGCTTATTCAAAACTATCTTGTATTCTACGAACTGTAGTTCTGTTGGAAGGTTCTATAAGGGTTTCTCAAATACCTTTGACCTAGCTGAACTTAGGTGATCTTGTAAATCAGAGATCTACAAACTGGAAAAAGAGAAACAGTAAATGCTTTAGGTTTTAGAAGATATGCTGTGGTTCAATGTTCATCTCTCCTGTTGTCCATTTAAGTAACCATAGATGCTAATATAAATGATCTTGACTGCATCAGTAAATATTTATTTCCAGAGAAAAGTGGCAATGTTAATTTGACTTACAAAAAATAATTTACTAATCTCAAATCTAAAGGAAATAAAATAGGGAATAAATTAAGAGACTAATTGGTTGGTGTAGAGTATATAATGCATTGTGTCTGTACAAAAGCAAAATTAAAATAATTAAGATTCTATTTTCTCTCTGTTGTTTAGAAAATGTAAAATAGTTCCTAAATTGTCCTTTATTTTTCAAATACAACCTTAACCGTCTGGCTTTTGTATTTTTTAGAAAAAATCTAGAGGAAATACTCAAGCAACTGCTCATTCTTTTGATGTCCAAGTGCTAACACAGTTGGTAAATATTTTTAAATCCACTTATTTGAAATAAATTATTTCATCTAACATAACGAAAAATTAGGAATATAATTGTATTAACTAAAAAAATATAGCAAGATATGAAACTATATAAAACATTCAATTATAAGAAAGTTACTCCCAAGAAGCTTTGCTTGTATTAAACTTTTGAGCCCATTCGGTCTTGAGGGTGCTAAAATGTTAACATGTAAATAACAATTTTAAAGCGTGTACACATATGTATTTAAATATTTTGAGCTGTTGAGTTAGAATTCTTAGAAATTTTTAAAAGATGTGTGTTGATATAGGGAGAATTGTCATATACTCAATTTGAAGTATATATCCATTGTATACTCTAACTTGATTTAAAAAAAAATCTCCAAAGGGTGGGCTGGAGCAATGGCTCAATGCTTCAGATCATTTGTTGTTCTTGCCGAGATTATGTTTTTAATTCCCAGCACCCGCATGGAGGTTCACAATTGTCCATAACTCCAGTTCCAGGGAATCCAGTGCCCTCTTCTGACCTTCATGTTGCACAGTCATACATATAGGCAAAACACTCATATACATAAAATTAATCTGAAAAAACTTACTAATGAAAATTAGTAAGTTTCATTTTTCCCTGCATGATATTTTTAAACTATATATTTATGTGGAAATTCAATTTGTTTTTAAAATGGGGAACATCGGAGAAACAACTAAATAAAAGTCACTTAAATGAAAACTAATTACTGTTAAGTGCTGTTCATTTTAATACTGCCTCATGCTATCCTGAAGAACAGACCATGATTATAGGAAGAGTAAGAAACTTCATTTCAGTATTATTCTAGATTTGAAACCCAGAAATACTACCAGAATCTTTAACTAAATTGAGCGTGTGAAGATAATTTGGCTCATAAGGATACTTTGCCATCTGTTTCTGTGTTTAACTCTAAAGCATTGCTAAGCTGGCATTGGAGTTTAACTTCTCAACCTCATTTCTTTTGATTTTTTTCACAGTACTTAACAGTACTTTTTTGTCTTGTATTTTCTATGTGACTGGATTTTAGAGGTGTCCCTTATTTCAAGGCATGCTATTCTCTTATATACATGACCCTTTATAGTTAGACTTACTTTGGTGGGAAGTAGGGGGGATTCAAGACAGGGTTTCTCTGTGTAGCCCTGACTGTCCTGGAACTCACTCTGTAGACCAGGCTGGCCTCGAACTCAAGAGGTCTGCCTTCCTCTGCCTCCTGAGTGCTGACAGTAAAGGTGTGAGCCACCATTGCCCAGCTTAGACTTCCTTCTTGATACCCTCTGTTAAAAAGTCTAATTCAAGACTCCAGTATCATCACATATGTCCTAACTTATTTTGGATGTCTGCTGTGGTGTCTTTAAATTCTGTGTATGTCCTGAACCATGTGTCTTGTCCATGCCACCTTATACTACTGCCCATAGTCAGAATCCCACCTATATGTCAACATCTAACAACAGTTTATTAGTAACAAAAATAGAACATAGCTGGGCGGTGGTGGTGCACACCTTTAATCCCAGCACCTGAGGCAGATGCAGGCCTGATCTACAGAGTAAGTTCTAGGACAGCCAGGACTGTTTCACAGACAAGCCCTGCTTTGAAAAACCAAAAATATAAAAATAAAACTGAAATATAAAGTATAAAAAGTTGGGAGGCAGATAGGCCCTTGGGAGACTTGGAAGGAGATCATGATATATGGAAGTGATGAATATCATTGTTTAACGTATAGAAGATTCAAAGAATAAAAATCTAACTCCCAAATGCCAGTACTTCCATTGGCTTTCATTTGATCAACAAAGCCAGAGAGGCTTTTTCTAAACTTTCATGTTAGTATCAAAACGTCCACTCTTGTGTGAGCACATTAGGTTTAGAGGCTATTTGTAAGTCCGTTTACCAGTTTGTGTTCAAGTCTAGATTGCAGTCAATGATGTTTGTAGAATCCAGAAAGTTTTCACCAAAATGGCACCATATTGTGGTGATATATTGTTTATGATCTTGCCTAGAGATCAGAATGCAAAACTAGCCACAGTCATAGAAACTAGGCAGTGGTAGCATACATCTTTAATCCCAGCACTCAGGGGACAGAGGCAGGTGGATCTCTGTGAGTTCAAGGCCACCCAGGGCTACACAAGAGTGAATTAGTCTAAAAGAAAAGCAGAGATCACTCCTTTAATCCCAGCACTAGAGAGGATATAAGGAAGAAGCAAAGGGTCTCATTTGAGACTCAGTTTCCAGTCACAGGGAAGATAGGATCTCCATTTCAGCCTTGGTAGAGGTAAGAGATACTGGCTGGCTGGCTGCTTTGCTTCTTTAATTTTCAGCTTGAACCCCAATATCTGTCTCTGGGTTTTTATTATTCATGTTACATCTTATAGCCTTTAAAACTCTTTCCTTTATGTGCATGAATATTTAGCATTTTTTATAGGATAATGTATGTTGGAGAACAATATCCTGTAACTCTAGTTCCAGAGGATCCAACACCCACTTTTGGCTTCCTTGGTACTACACACACGTGTAAACAGGCATGTGTTCTACAATTTTGTCTTTCAGCCCCTGAATTCAGACCACAGATCCACAGCCACAGTCCAAATCTGCAGTGGCTCTGTAAACCTTTGGGGTGATGTGAAATGCAGAGCTTACATCCACAGCAACAGACCCAAGGTTAAAGATGCGGTGCAGGTATAAAAAGTACAATTGACACAGGAAAACAATGGAAACAATGTAACATTGAAAAGTTCCCGAACTGTCTTCTTGTCTCAATTTTATGATTACTAATTTTGTTTTAATTAATAAAGTTCCAATCAGTTTCAAGATTTTTACATGTAGACTGTCTATATGGGCTTAATAAGTACTCCACCCTTGTGATGTGTTAGTACCTTTGAAATAATTTCTTTTGAGAGGAACTCAATTTCTTAACTAAAGTATTCGCAGGAAGAATTATTAGGTAATGTTTTAGGATCCAAAAATTTAAAAAGTGATGACCAGCATTTGCATCATAATATATTTCCTGATTTAGAATATTGGAAAAATTTGTTTAGATGCAAATTCTTTATTTGGCTTTAATTCACTATTTAAATGTGGGCTATGTAGATTTAACATTATAAGCTATAACTGTGTTAAAAATGATAGTAATAGGTATGCTGGGTATATGAGAATAGCAAGTGGACTTTTTAATCACAGAAAGCAAATAATGGGGATTTTTTTTGTAATGAAATATTTAACTTTGAAGTTTTTTTCTTACTGTGTTTTCCCCATAGGCAGTGAAGAGAGATATTTTGAACACAGTTGCTGATCGCTGTGAAATACTATTTGAGGACCTGATTTTGAATGAAATTCCAGAAAAAAAAAGTATGACTATTAAATAAGTACTTTAAATGTTTGTTTTGTTTCACACAGTAAGATGTCAAGATTTAATATGTGTGTCATCTTCTATAGCATGTTTTAAAACAGTAAGTTGTCTTTTACTTTTGTTGCTGAATAAAATCCTTGCAGTTGCTCCCTCTTCCACCATTGTGTTTTGAACATTTTTTATTAGCAAAGCTGTCAACATTTAGCAATTCCAAAGAAGACTTTTTTAATATTCTGCAGTTTTTTTTTCTCATTTTAAAAATTAGTTCTTTGAGACTTTCTTACATGTACTCCCTCCATCACCTCCTCCCATATCCTTCTTACCCACCAGATTTGTTTGTTTTTAAGACACACCAGGCACAGTTTGTGCTCCCCGTGTATTTTTGGAGGTGTTCCCTTCCTTCCACTATACGTTTGTTGTCTCCATTCCTTCTATTCTGCTGGTGGGTGACTTTCTGAATCTAAGTGTTTTGCAACCAACTCCTTGGCATTCAGTTTTTATAACATAATCTGTCTTCATGCAAACAGAATCCAAATTTGAAGTGTGCTTAACCATCTTCAAATTCAAGTGTGCTTGGTTCAAAATATAGCATCATCCCAATTTTGCATCCTGTGGTACAAACTGCAGTTATGTAATTCTAACAGCAGGAGGCAGTGTGGCCAAAGAGTAAAACTATTCAAGTTCTACACAAATGAGATCATACACGGAAAGTGGGAGAATCATGTAGTTTATGCCACAGCATTTCCCTGTGACACTTAAGGCATACTTAGCATCTTCTGTTTGTAATTATATAAAGTAGTCCTAGTTTCTTGAAGAAGTGTAGATTGCTAATAGAACACCCCAATTTTCTGCTTGATTTTTACACTGGAAACTTTTTCATCATATCTGATACAAACAAAGTAGTTACTATTTATAAAATATCTACTTCTGAGTTAGTTTATTAGAGCCACATTTTGAGATAACCAGCAGCTATATATGTAGCTAGTAACTGTATTCAAATTTAGGGACATATAGTCTAATTTACAGGTATCCAAAGGAATGTGAAACATGGTGGCTGGGGAGATGGCTCACTGAGTAAAGTGCTTGCTCCCAAGCGTGAGGACCTGAGTTCAGTCCCTAGGACCCATGAATCCTGAGAGCAATGCTAGGTGTCGTGGAATGGACTTCTATTTAGTGTTGGGGAGGCAAAGGCTGGAAAGGCCCCTGCATTGACTTCAAGCATTTATAAATGCAGAAAAAGTTAGTAATAAAATTAACAATACTTACAAGATTAAAACAAATAAGAAAGGTAGCAATCTATAGGACAGTAATTAACTTGAGTGTTTCATCATAGGACACAGTGGGTCTCATAAGGACATGTGATTACCAACATCTCTATATTAAAGGCAAGGAGGGTGTATGTTTCATAGGTATATTACCTAGGTCCCTTTGAAGCAGCCAGGGAAATTGAGGAAAGAACTCAACAAAAGCTGTTTTATTGTTTAGAAAGTTTAAAATCGTTGTCATTTCAAACTTCATTCTAACATGTTTTTATATTTTTTTGAAGTAAATATTGACACCAATGACAGATATATCTAAATACTGATAACGTAATATTCTTTTTAGATTATGAACTTCCTCAGCGAGTTTTTGTTCCCCTTCCTGGATCTGCTATAATGTTATGTGATTATAAATTTGGTGATGAATCAGCTGAAGAAATTAGAGACCATTTTTCAGAGATGTTAGATCATGAGATTCAAATAGAAGACTTGGAAATTTCAGAGGAAATAAACACAGGTAATTAAAATCCATGTAGACCATACCTAATATCATCATGCATTCCTGTTTCCTTAAAGCTAATTCTGTTTGATACTTCAAATTATTATCTGAGGTATGTACAAACACACGCATGACAGATCTCTCTACACATAAAAGCATAGAGTATTTTCTTTGGAAACTTTACCCAAACTTAAAACACATCAAGTGTTTTTTGAGTCTAGCGTGTGAATCTTCATGAGAAGTTTTAAATGTGTGAAAATATGTAGTTTTGGGATATTTATTTCAACATGAGAAAAGTTCCTCAAACTTTTAGAAAATTTTCCCTGTGTAATTTGTCATTTTCTCTATGTCCTCATTGTATCAGGCAGACACTAAAGTAAGGTGGGCAGTTCCAGAAATCAGATGAAGATGGTTTGGATAGAGCATAGACTTTTGATACTGCCCAGTTGTGTAGACAAAGGAAGCAGTAGCTGTCTGCAAGCCAAGGAGGTGTGCTCAGAAGAAACCAAAAATGCTCATATCCTGATACCCAGCTTCTAGCCTCTGGAAGTGTGAGGAAAGAAGGTTTGTGTTGTCGAAACCAAACAAGTGAGAACAAAACAAAACAGCCCTATTATCTGATTTCAAAGATAGATGGCAGCCTCCAAAAAACACAGAGAAACCCTGTCTCGTAAAAACCAAAAAAAAAAAAAGATAGATGGATGTCAGAGAATATAGTGAGGTCCTTTGAGTACTAAGGACTGGCTCAAGAATAATTATTACTGGCGGTTTTCTCTCCCTCCAGGTCCCGCCGCCCTTCTCAGCCCCAAAGAAACACACAGATGCTATATTATAAAACTGTTGGCCGAATGTCTAGCGCTTCTTCCTAGCTAGCTATGTCTTAATTATTAACCCATAACTGCTAATCTATGTATTTCAACATCACCTGACCCATCCTACCTCCTGGTCCCTCCATGGCATCCTCTCCCAGTGCTTTTCTGCCTACCTTTCCCAGAATTCTCATCTCCTAGCCCCACCTATCTTCCTGCTTCTATGGGCCAAATAGTGTTTTATTTATCAACCAATAAAAGAAACATATATACAAAAGGACATTCCCTGCCAAATAATGATCAGAATTCTAGGGTCTACAGTTACTTGATTAGTGATTCAATAAGAAAAAAAAAATTTTTCCCCATGTGTGGTGGCAGATTTAAGTGCTAATCCCTAAATCCTAGCACTCAGGAGACTGAGACAGGGAATCGCCAGCCTGGACTACATAGGGAGTTTCAGGCTATCCTTCTCAGATAGAACAGTAACAACAAAAATTGCAAACATAAGCAATATGCATTGTAAGCAGATGATCTGCAAGGTTTTCCTTTTTATATCTTTAAACTGTTTCTTCTCAGAGAGCCTCCACTCTTGGGAAGACAGTAGATTAGCATCCTAAAGTTCTGTCTTCCATCTTCTCTTCAGCCAGTGCATTGTAGAGCAGGGGTAGCACAGTTAGTGATCGTCTACCCCTCCTGCTGGGTCTCGACTCCGAGGCTCATGTTTTCTCCTTCCCCTGGCCCTTCTGTGTGTAGCAGGGTGAGGGTGTGCTAACCCCAAGGTTTTGTGATCCTCCTGAGCCTGCCAGTTTAGATGACAAAATAAGGCCATGGTTTCAGCCCCTACTCCTTAGGGGCAGGGCTGGGAAGACACTCTCAGCTTTGGTACTTTAATAATTCTTCCCCATTGCTGCCTTTATTTTTCACTTCTCCTGCAAGCATCGCCTGCTTTACAGATTACTGTGTAGTATAGTAGAGAATACCAACTTTATTAAAAGCCTCATAATTTGACTCAGTTTCATTTCTGCAAATAAGTGACTTTTAACCCTCAAGACAATACACTTTATTTATTTTCAGAATTAAGTGCCCCATGAACTGTATTTTATCTTTTATTTTAGCATTGCTTATTTTATATTAAATATTAATATTATCATGATCCAGGAGATACAAAGTATCTTAAATATTCATATAAAATTGTACCTAATCCCTTTTTAAATATTTAGTAGTTCTAGATAGCATATAAATAATAATCCATATATCTGCTTTTGTGGGTTTTAACTTCTATAAGCTTTTAACTTAGGAATTTAAGTTCTTTTGTTTTTTGAAGACAAGGTTATTATGTGTAACATTGACTGTCCTGGAACTTACTCTGTAGACCAGGCTGGCTTCGAAATCAGAGATCCGCCTGCCTCTGCCTCCCGAGTGCTGGGATTAAAGGTGTGCGCCACCACCACCCAGCTAGTTGTAGCTTATCTTTTAGATGCGTAATGAAAGTCATGGTATGCTTTGATCTGAGAGTATGCCTGCCACTAATAGCTATATAACCTGTCTAAATACTTTCTGAACCCCAGATTCCTTTGAGCTAGAGAATTCATTTTCTAAAATGTAATACATATAAATGGAGGATGGTAGGATACTGCACACTAGCCAAAACACATTAATGTTAAAAAAATGTGAGAATAATATTTTATAATATATTTGGATTTTCATAAGCATTTGAAATCAGGGTTTATATATACAATAAACTCCTGAAAATAGTTGAGATTGAAAAGTGGAACTGAGTTGTGCATTTAGGACTGTTAAACTTTCTAAATTATTTCTAAGTTTTTGAAATTATTATTTTCTTGAGTGTTACTATATGGTCTATAATGTAGTTGTCAAGTAGTTGCTATGTTTAAAAATACATATTTTGTCAAGTAAGTATCTTCAAGTAACATACTTTTAAACGACTTAAGGGATAAAGAACTATTTGTTTGTCAAAATGACTCACTAATGTTGAAGGATAACCATGGCTTTAAAATTTCTTGGATGTGTTAGTCATCTCACAGACATTACCTTAATAATTCAGATGTACTTTGTCTATTATCAGATAAAAATAAATTGAAGATACACCTTTAAAATATGCTGAAATGGTGTTGGAACCAGTTATTCTTTGTTACTAAATATTCATTATTTCTTTATTATTTTCTGTGCTTGAATCCAGGGCCTTGTACATGGTAGGCAGACTTCCTACTACTGAGCTATATCCCCGTACCTTGGTCCTCTGCGACCTGTCTTGTAATGTGATTCAGTTAGGCCTTGAACTCCTCCTTCCTGCTCCCGTGCATACTCACATGCCTGAGAAGCATTAACAATTTAAAGGAAAAATAAATCATCCTGATTACTTATTGTGATTCTAGGAATGAAACTCAGGACCTTGTGCATAGCAGAAAGTCACACTCCCATTCAGGTGTATCTCAGGCCCCTGTCCTAATAGTAGCTTGTGAGCCCAGCTCCCAAGACGACCTGCAGGTTTCGGGTCAGAGCCTCATCTTACTGAAAGGAACTTAGAAAATCACCAATCTGAGGGTTACAGAATAACCCACACCCATGCTGTTGAGTTAGGTTCTTTATCCTTCTCCAGTTCTAATTCTTTTGTCCTAATTGTCTATAATTTTCTAGCCCGAATTCCTTAGTTCCAATCTGTAATTCCAAAATTGTTGGTTCTAATTCTCTGTTTCAGTCCCCTGCTTCTGTGTTCACCTAGCTTAAAAACATTTTTTTACAGGTGGTTTAAGGCAAAAAAAAAAAAAAATAGCCACAAGAGTCACATCTCATTGTTCATAGCACATTCTTTGGGAAAGTGATAGGGCAGAGCCATTTACCATGGCAACACAAAGTTTCAAGGTCTCTGGTATAAGACTGTGACCAGATATCAGGGGCACAGGGCCTGATGAGACAAGCTGGGAGACATAGTTCTTTTATCAGCTAGACTTGGCCAGTGAGGAGTTGGCATGATTTTTTTTTTTTAGGTTGCTTTGTGTTAATAACCTTGGTTAGACATCTGCAACTCTGACCTTGTGCATACTGTAACGTTTTTAACTTATGATTCATTTACAGAAGTCTTCAGTCTAGTTTGTACTTGCTCTGAGGTAAAAATGAGCTAACTGTGTGTAGTTGAGTAAAAGGAACAAAGCTGGCTTTTAAATGTCTTAACAGTCTTTGTGGGTCAATAGATCTAGTTATGAAGCGTACCCTAGTATATTTTCTATATATCAAAATTATATAGCTTAGTGAGAGATTATCTTCCTGACTACCCACAAATATATGTGCCCATAGATTGAGATGCAATCATGAGTTATATATACATATATATACATGTCATATGAAATTACACACTACAATGCAGGTATTAGGGAGACACCATAGCTGTTTTAGCAATGTGAAGTTACAGACAGGAACAACAATTTCCAGAGTCAGTGGTTCTGCAGGCCCTGCCTAGGCAGGATTCTCCAGAGAATTATTCTTCTGGTGGATTGACATCTGAATACTAGCTTACTGTTCCATGACCCTCAACACTGTCCCTCCCAATGTAAGCATGATCTGCTTTCTTCAAATTTGCTCTTTCTGCCTTAGCCTCCTGAGTACTGCAATTTCAGGTGTGTGACAGCACCACACCCAACTAATGGTTGGTATATATTTATGGATAAAATGTTGACTATAGTTCTACAGGGATAGGAAACTATTTAAAAAGTTCAAGTCCTGGGTGCCTGGTGAAATGGCTTAGCTGGTAATGGCACTTGCTGTCAATATGGATGACCTTAGTCATAGGAAAATAATGAAGTACATAAAAGCCCCCAGACCCCCAAAACACATGTACACTTTTTTTTTCCATTTTGGTACCACAGATACCTATTAAAATACATTTATGTGTCATTCTTATGTGTCTATGCTTGTGTATGGGATACACGCATAAAGACTTTTTAAATTGAAACAGGGTATTTACATTTAAGCAAACATTTCAGTATGTCCTATTGTCTGTCTGTCTGTCTGTCTGTCTGTCTGTCTCTCTCTCTCTCTCTCTCTCTCTCTCTCTCACACACACACACAGCTATACTTTGTTGCTGTTGTTAATGAAGGGATCAATCTGAAGCAGTTCTTTTCAAGCATAGTTTAGTCTGGCCAGGCTCCTCCAGGACTCTCCATTCCTGCCACTGCCTCAGTAATGCTGCTTTCATCTGATTTACATATGCTGATTTTCTTGTCAGATTTTGTTTTCATAGGATTTTTTTAGCACCATGGAAGGAGAAACAAAAACCACTGGCCTGTATGATCTCTAAGATTGTATGAGGTCAAACACTTTCAATTGGTGTTAGTCAATTTAGACAGACAAATGTATATAAGCTATTGCCAACATAATGAAGAAAAAAACTTACCTTTTAGGCTGGGGAGATGGCTCAGTAAAGTCTGACAATCAGAGCTCCATCTCAGGAACCCTTGGTTGAGAGAGAGAACAAACTCCTAAAAGTTGTCCTCAGACCACCCACACATGCCCTGCTTTGACCCATGTGTACCCACACTCATGCCCACAGCGCGCGCGCGCGCACACACACACACACACACACACACACACACACATCAATTTTTAAAAATCATTTTCTACCCTTTAAAAAACAAGATGAAAAAAATTTACCAACCCTAAAGTCGACAACCTAGAATCCTCAGCTTCATGCTTTACCTTCTAGGATTTGTAAAATGTGATGCAGTACTTGCCTTCCCTAACTTTCAGAAGTTTGTAGATAAGATTTCTAGTCATTTTTGTGGTGATATGTTATTTATGATTTATTAAAGTTTGCCTGAGGATTCAGAAAGCAAAGTCAGCTTCAAGCTATAGAGATTGGGCAGTGGTGTTACACACCTTAAATCCCAGGACTCAGGATTAAGAAGTAGATGGATCTCTCTTGAGTTCAAGGCCAACATATCCTACACAAGAATGAAAAGTAACAGAGTTTATGCCTTTGATCCCAGCCCCTGGGACCATACACCTTTAATCCCAGCATTAGGGAGGTATATAAAACAGGAGCAAGGTCTCAGATCAGGCATTCATTCTCAGGATTCTTTCCAGCCACGCTGAGGAGAGGCAGCAGACTGAGGTCTGGGAGAGCTTGTGGATCAGCCCTTTCAGCCTGAGGTAGAGGAAAGAGCTAGTGGCTGGCTGATTTACATTTTTGATCTTTAGCTTGACGCTTGAATCCTAACAGCAGTCCCTGGGTCTTTTATTTTTCTGACTTCCACAGGCTCCAGGCACACATGTGGTACACAGACATCCATGCAGGCAGACACCCATGATCTTAAGAACAAAACAATTTTAAAAATAAAGATAAGCAGATCTTTAGAAAACTGGGTGAGTGGAAGGGAAATGCTGCCGACTGTGTATTTTATGCTATTTATAAATGGCAGTTCTTGATTTCTGTAGCATTTGTTCTGATTTCTTGCAGCTTGTGTGACTTCCTCTGTGAAGAGCGAAGTGGCACCAACCAACACAGGTGGTGAACAACCAGAGCCACCAAGTAAAACTACAGTGGGATTGAAGATTAAGCAAAACATAGGTATTTGCTCCTCTATAATTTTGAAAAATGATTTTGAGTTTTCTTTTTATGTTAACATTTCATTTCACCAAAGTATTAGATTAAGACAGTATTTCCTGAGTATGATGAAAGTGACAATAGCTATACAAACAAATGTGCTTTATAATGGTTGAGAAGTACTGTCCACTGGATCAGTTTTTCGGTGTCATCTAAGTAGGAAACAGCTGACATAGTGGGTGCGTGTGTATGTGTGTACTTACATGTACGTGTATGTCCATACCTATACACATATATTTGCAGAAACTTTTTAAAATACTTGTTCTAGTCACTCTTACGGTGCGTATGTGTAAGAGAAACACTTTGCACAGTCTTTATGAGCTAGTTTTTCAGCTTCCCTCCATAATCCCTCTAAGACTTCTCTGGATTTTAGCATGTACATACCTGTCCATTTTTGTAGCATGTGCATGTGTGTGTGATGTCTTACAGGCCTGTCTGTTACCCCATTTCAGATGTTCTGTTCATTTTTGTAGGATGTGCATGTGTGTGTGATGTCTTACAGGCCCGTCTGTTACCCCATTTCAGATGTTACCCTAGGAGCCGTTGAGCCGTTCTTTTGCTCATTCCACTCCCGTTGTTTTGTGTCTGCTTCCCTTTCAGGTGCGATTGCAGCACTAACAGTTGCAGTCCTCGCGGCGGGCATCTCCTTTCATTACTTCAGTGATTAGGGTGAGGCACAGTGAGCTTCCTCATCACCCAGAAAACATTGAACTACAGCAATGAAAAATAAAGATGGAAATGCCGCTACTGCATTTAGACTCTGCTACAATAATGTCTATTAGGTATATTTCTGACTTACATGACATCACCAGCTGCCTTGTTTACCCTGCTTTTATTATCTGGCCCAGATTTCCAAAAGTAAACTATAGGTCTAAATACAGTCGCATGTAACAAATCACTATTATGTATTTTCAGAAGAGTCAAAATGTGAGCTATTTTAGAGTTTAGTCCTATTGAGTGGCGTCACATATTGATCAAAATATTGAAACTTTGAGCAGTCAGTAACAACCATATTGATACATCATCAGGAATTGTCTGATAAGTTTATCCTGGAGGACTTGTCTAATATGCACTCAGTTGTAATATTTTATGGACACGGTTTAAGCTGGAGACCACGAATAGTATTTTAAGCAGATAAATGGACAGTGGTTTCTTGGATGGCAGGTGCCAGTAGTGGCACAGCAGTATGCTGCTTGCCTCAAACCAAAAACAAAGATAGGTAAATTGGAGATGCTATCCTAGATAAGGATAGGTAATGTTCAGTAGCTCTCATGCTATAGTTCTGCGTAGCTCCTGGCAGAAACAAACTAGAAGCACTCCTAACTTAGGCCCAAGACTCCCATAAATTATGATCAGTCAGTATTTTTTCATGACTGTAAGTCATGAAGTACAAGATGCACTGAGACAGCAGGAGAAATAAACTAGGAAAAAATAAGCTTTGAAGTCAGTTCTCCCAAGTTCACAACAACATAGAGAATGAAGGACAGAGCCAAAGATGCAGGTAAGAGTTGGGTAGTGCTCCTTAGAACAAACTATAGGAAAAAGTAAGCACTGAAGTCAGTTCTCCTAAGTTCACAACAGCATAGAGAACAAAGGACAGAGCCAAAGATGCAGGTAAGAGCTGGGTAGTGCTCCTTAGACTAAGGGCTGTGTTCTTTAAATGAACAGGGCACACTGCAGGCTGGCAACTGAAGACACCAGTGAAGTGAAGGTAGAGCAACAGGAGAGAGGGGTGACAGGTCTAGAACCAGGAGGGGAGAATGGAAGACAGACAGCCCTTGGGCTGACAAGGTTCTCCACACGCTAGCAAAGCATTTATAAATCCCAGAAACGCGTTAGAAAAAAAATCCATGAATTGTTATCCACGTAGTGAACCACAAGACACAAAGCAAGGTTATAAAAAAGCCAAAGGGATATAAAGGTCTCAGCTAAGGCAAGTCAGTCACATACAGAGTAGACCCCCGGTAGCAGCAGTGTACCCAAGAAAGTGGCAAAGTACCTTAGAGCTGTGTAAAAGTTGGTGCAAAGCAAAGCTCAGAAACAACCGATCTTCATTAAAGAAACTGAAAAAAAATGGTCTTCAATGATGAGAATTACTCCAAAAGCAAGTTCTGAATGAAGTGTTAATGAACAAAATGACCAATATTGTAAATTTAAAGGGTTGTTTGTATAAAGCAATCATAGTGAAGTATTTGTAGAAATTGTAAACAAATGTAAAACTGAATAAATATTGTTATGCTACATTAATGTGAAATTTTCAAATAAGGATATAATTGGGAAAATCTGGCTTAGAGGATAGGCGGAGAGTGATTAGAACCAAAGTGCTCTGAGGGGCTGGGGCTAGGATTCAGGAACCAGCACAACTTAATGTTTAAATTAGATTATCTCAGTACATGGCTAACTTTTAAGGGTACCTTCTCAAAAAAGCAATAGGTGGTGAAACAGCCTAATGAGCTTAGGAAGGAACACAATACAAATACAGGAAAAGATTAGAGGGGGACAAATATGGTAAGTAATAATAGAGCTGCATGTTTCATAGATAAAGACCCTGGACTGCTTCCTCATTATAAAACAAAGACAAGTGAGACCTTGGCTCAAAAAAAAAAAAAAAAAGTAACTGAATGGACAAAGCATTTAGATCAAATAGACTAAATTCTGGAAAGTAAAATTTTAGTTAAGTGCAGATGTTAAATAAACCTGTTCAGGTGTGTTGAATAGTAAACCAATTGTTTTTTTTTTTCTTTTTTGGTCAACACCTGCCTTAGTTTTTTACCCCTTTTTTGGTTGTGAGCCTAGCCTTTAACAGCTGAGCTATCCCTCCAGCCCTTACCCCTTTTCTAAAGATAATACTGCTATTCAAAATCTTAACCAAACTTTCAAAGCATATGTGATGAGGGGAGACTTTCTAGGTTATTGTACGAGGCTCATATAACTTGCTGAAACCAGGGACAGCCAGAGAAAAGAAAACTGCAGGCTAATGTAACGTGTAGTTTTCTCGCCCTAAATAAACACGCAGACACTATATTAGTTATAAATACTGTTGGTTTTTGGCTAAGGCTTCTTATTCCTAGTTGAGCCGTAATTATTCATCCATTTTCTAATAATCCATGTATTTCCACAGAGCCTTATCTTACCAGAGTAAAAGTCCGGTCCTCTTACTCCTTTGGGGTCTGTTTGATGTCTCCGCAGAGAAGAGGAGAGAGCTAGTTCCTGCTTATCCCTGCTTATATTCTGATTCTGCCCTGCTATGTCACTTCCTGCCTGGATCACATGGCAACTTCTCTTTACTACATTTCCCAGAATCCTCCTTGACTCCTAGTTCCACCTGTCTTGCTTCCCTATTGGCCAACATTGCTTTATTCAACAACCAATAAGATAAGCATATACAAAGAAGACCATTCCCCGTAAGGCTAATAACACTTCTTAACACACATGGAAATCAGATGCACTATTCAGGTTAATTCAGCGCTGTATTAAAGAGACATATGCATTAAATATCAAGAGCAAGAGGATGCTTGTTAACTTTCTGTTCACCATCCTTTAGAAAAGTGAGAAAAAGAAACGTATTTTAAGAACATGTGACTAGACATATGAAAAGATTTATCTGTATAAGACACTAAGGCCATATAGCCAATACCATTTTATATTCACTAGGTTGAAAAACTAAGACATGGAGATGCTAATAAAAATGGTGTAATAAAAGTTACTTCACATTGAGATGATCAGAAAGCGATTTGGCCTTGTAGAGCTAATTAATTGTAATTTCCACATACATACCTTAGGTAAATTCTTGCATAGATAGAACTGTACAAGTATGTAACAATGTTTATGACTGTTATCCAAATATTTATTAATTAAAAATAAGTAAATTGTAGGGGATGTAATTGTATTTAGCAGGGAGAATGACCTACATGCAAACACGAAGGTAGAATTTAAAAGCCTGGCTTCATGGCTATGCCTGTAATTTCAGCCCTGGAGGTTGAAGGAAGATTTCAAGTTCAATGACAGTCTGGGCTGCATAGTGACACTAAATAAAATTAATTTTACTTAGAAATGATTAGGCAAATACCAAGTCTACCTATAGTATAATACTGTTTGTAAAGTTAAGCAAATTTAAACTATATTACATGCATTTCTGATGAAATTCTTTTTTAAGGTACAAAAGTTGAGGATGATGGCAAAACAGGGAAGCAGGATGTAACAACTTCATTGGAAACAGTATTGCCACGCTTTCCTTCATAAGTAACAGGTGTCCAGATGCTCATTTTATTTACTTTATGACAGCAATACATTACTTTTATTTTCTGTTGCTAACAAACCATCCCCACTTACATCATAGTTGTTTCTCTCACTGTTCTCTGAATGGACAGAAGTCACTTTAGTTCTTTACCTGGTGTTTTCTAGAACTTGTTACCTATGGGCTAGGCTGGGGTAGAAGCATATAGGATAGTTCTTTTACATGGTTGACAATTGATGATAGCTCTCAATTGGGAATCCAGCGATCACGTCTCAGTTCTGTGTTGGTTTCACATCTGGCTTTGAGTTCTTCCATCATACTGGCTGAGTTTTTTTATATTTAATGATGCTTAGAGTCAAAGAAGTAACACAAGTGCAAACATTACAACAAGAAAAAAGTTGAGGCTAAATCTTCAAACCCTGGCTCAGAAATTCCAGAATATGATTTCTACTACATATGTTAGCCAACCTAACATTCCGGATAAGCCTAAATCAAAAGACAAGGGAAAGAAAATCTTTATTCAGAAGGGAAATATGATATATACAGTTATCACAGTTTACCTTTTAATCTATTCCTTGCTTTCCTCTACTGTGCTACTTCTGTAACCAGTAGAGTCTCTTCCTTTTACATAAGCCCTAAGGTGTTCTAGCTATCAGTGGTTCATCACATTCTTACCAGCACAGTGGGGATTAACTCAAGCTCTATGACAAGCTCATAAGCTTGGTTGGTTCTTACTGTAGGGATTTGTCTAAATGTAGGTTAGCTACTACACAACAAATGCCCAGGAAATTGTTCTTAATTGCCCAATGAGTAACTGTATTGGGGAAGATTCATAACCTATTAAAGGTATATTAATGTTAATAGGTTTTTATTTAAATAAAAGAATTTAAATAAAATAGAAGTGACTGGTTTGTGTCTGCTTTCTCCATTTTGAATGTACTTTTACATTCCATTGTCTCATTGACTTTTACAAAATATTTGTTTTGTTAAGTGGGACAAAGGCTTATTGATAGGACCCTAACTTAAATGACTGTAATTGAAGAATTGTTCATATTTAGGAAGAGTATGAGTTTATGAAACATCTGAGTAATGTGCTGGATAGTTTGTGTCAACTTGTCACATGCTAGGGTCGTCTGAGAAGTTGACCATCAACCTTAGTTGAAAACAGTGCTTCCATATGATTGACCTGTAGGCAAGCCTATGGGTCGTTTTCTTGACAGCTGTGTGTGGTGCCGCCCCTGGGCAGCTGGTCGTGGGGTGTGTAAGAAAGCATACTGAGTAAGCCAGTAAGTAGCACTCCTCCATGCCTCAGCATCAGTTCCTGTCTTCAGGTGCCTGCCTCAAGTTTCTGCCCCAACTTTTCTTGATTATGGACTTCAAGCTGTAAGATGAAGTAAACCCTTTTTTCCCCCAAGTTACTTTTGGTAATGGTGTTTCTTTCACAGCAATAGAATCTCTAAGACAGGTAGCTGTTTGTCTCAATGATCAGAAATATGTTATTCCTGGTTTTCGTCTTTATAAAATAGTTTTTAAATAATTTACATAATTAGCATCAGCAGGTGAAGCTAGATTTTTATATTGTGCTATGGAACTTCTGAAATGGCGATCTCCAAAGAGTTTTGTTAAAAAATTTCTAATTAAGACATGACATTTTAGAAAAGATTCCTCATTTAACTTGTTCAGTTTGTTAAGATATTTTGTTTATGGAGTTGGGAAAGGAACTTAATGATCAAGATGAAAGTAGTTCAGTCAGGTCTCAGATTCTATTTTAGTCAAATCCAATCTGGCTGTAGGTATATCAAATGCCTAATTCTATGATTAGAATGTAGAATATCAATTAGCCGAGATGTTAGGCTACTGTATCTTTTGTCTAAGTAGAAATGACATAGACTTTTAAATAATTTCTGTACTTTCAAGTTAGTACAATTGAAAATATATGCTACTGTTAAATAGCTAATAAAAATTAGTAAAAATAGCTAATAACTAGAAAACTGAGTTGTACTGCCAGATCTGACAAAAATAGCATTTTGGTAAGTCAGTTAATTGGGGTGAACTTGACAGCATCAACACTCATTAAATAGTGCTTTTCAATTTACAAAGTGTTTTCAATCATACATTTTTCTTTCTTTTTTTCTCAGTTTAGAAACTGAGGCTCAAGAAAGTGACTTCCTAAACCTAGTGGTGAGTAATTGTATATGTTGTGTATTAAGGAGAAAGACACTGATGGAAGGGAATGATTGAGAATATAGAATCTAGGAAGGACAACTCTATAAAACTGAGAAAACGTGGATCTAAGCCTCCCCAGAAATTGAGGAGGTCAACTATGGAGTAAGTACTGGCTGTCAGAGAAGGGATGTTGCTGCTAACACAGTAGTTTACTCAGAGGAAGAAGAGAGTTGATGCTCATGTTTATAGGCCGTCAGGCTTGGAGATGGTAAGTGATACTCAGTTGGTACCTTCAGATTTCTAAGTTTTCTAAATCACATGAGAATGAGAAAAAAAAAAGTGAGAAAGGGACATTTGCAAAACCTGTTGCAAAGAATGGGTCATCAAGCTGATGGCAATTTACCTTTGAGGTTACTGACTATGTTGTGCCCAAATTCTGAACTCCAAAATCACCAAGAGGCCCATTTCGATGCAAAAGCAAAGAGTCTTTTATTGTAGATGTTTAACGAGCTAACCCCATTAGCTCAGGCCCTTCATCCCACCACCATGGCGAATAGCTGGAGAAAGACCCCAAGCAACCTTGAGGCAGGGATCTTAAAGGGCAGCGGGAGGGGAGGGTCTAGGGGACATGAAACAGTCTCAGGATTGGTGTGCTTCTAGGTTTGGGTGACCCGCCCTGTGTTGACTGGTCAACTGGTTGTTATGGCCCATAGGCCCTCCCAGGGCGGTTGCTATGTTCTGCATGTCCGTAAAGCACACCCAGAGCCGTAAAGCACAGCCCTGCCAGCTAACTTCTGATTGGTTCCTTGCCATGAGGAGGGCATTTGACCTTAGTGAC